AGAATTAATTTAACATAATGTTTTAGGACAACATTATACCTATTGGTCCATCTCAGCTGTCTACTATACTCTAAACTAAACTAAAACTATTATAAAAAAACTTAAAGCCAGCCCTTATCATTCATATACTTGTCAAGCTTTCCTTTAAACTCACTTAAATTTACTGCCTCCACAACATCCACAGGCCAACCACTTTGTTAGAAAGATAAAACTGTCTTAGCTGAAAATGACTCCTACCTTGCAAAAATTTATATTTCTGTCCCCTAGTATTACTATTCTCGCTGTTAAGTATGAAAAAATATGATACATCAACACTATCAATTTCCTTTACTATCTTAAACAACTCAATCAGATCCCCTCTAACTTTTCTTTTTCAAGAGAAAACAATTTGAGAGATTTCAACCTCTCCTCATATGACAACCCCTCCATCCCAGGCACCATTCTAGTAACCCTTCTCTGAACTCTTTCCAACAATTCAATGTCCTTTCTAAGGTAAGGAGCCCAATACTGAACACAATACTCCAAATGTGGCCTAATTAGTGATTTATACAATGAAATTATAACCTCTCTAGACTTGTATTCAATATTTCTATAGATACAACTTGAAATCCTATTTGCCCTACCACTAGCAACAACACACTGCTAGGATGACTGATCATCTATTACACCAAGATCCCTTTTTTTTTCATGACACTGTTAATGTTATTTCCATCCAAATTGTACTTATAATCAAATTATGATAATCCACATGCAATGTCTTGTATTTATTATAATTAAAAATCATTTGCCATTTATTTACCCAAATCACTAAATGATCTGAATCCTTTTGTAAATCAGCAGCATCCTCTTCACAACTAACAACACCCAAGACATTAATATCATCTGCAAATTTAATTAATTTATTGACTATTCCTTCATCTATGTCATTGATGTAAATCAAAAAGAAGCAAAGGTCTTAAGTCTGAGACCTGAGGTACCCCACTTATAACATTAATCCAGTTTAACTGAACTCCATTTGTAACAACCTTCTGCTTTCTTCCATCCAGCCGCTCTTCTATCCAATTTGCTAACTTATCCCCAACACCTACAAAGACAGTTTTTTTTACAAGCCTTTTATGTGGCACCTTGTCAAATGCTTTCTGAAAATCCAGATACACCAAATCTAAACCCTTATCCTAATTTACATAAGCATTTTCAAAGAATGTCAAAATATTTTTAAGGCAAGATTTTCCCTTAATGAAACCTTGTTGACTATCCATTAAAATTCTGAACTTTGTTAAATGACTTTACAAAGCATTTTTTATCAGGCTTTCCAATACCTTTCCTACAACTGATGTAAAACTAATGGGCCTATAATTACTGGGACAATTTTATCACCTCCCTTAAAAATAGGAGTGACATTAGCTAACTTCCAGTCCTCTGGTATCTGCCCACTATTCAAAACAAAAAATATTAGCAAAACCCTTGGGGAAATATTATCTGGCCCAGGAGCCTTATTGTTATTTAAACTTCCCAATTTTTTCTTAACAAGCTCAGAATTAATGCAATCATCTTAATCGATCTTGTTTCCACCTATCAACAAGATATGTGATTAAAATATTGGAAATAAAGTTAAGAAAAAATAACCTTTATTCTTCAGATAATAATAATAAAAAGTTTTTATTATCATCTAGAGTAAAGGTCGTTTTTTCTAATTTTTTTACCAAAAAGTCTGAATCTCTCCGGTATCCACTACCTATTCGGGATTGAATGAAGAGAGGTGAATATAATCTGCAATTTTTAACTCATTGAAAGTAGCTTCAAGTTTCTTTAGTAACTAAGTTACATGTACAAAAGAAAAATATATCAGATAGATCATCTTAACTGTATACTTTAAGGTTATGTAATAAGCCTAACCTACTTGTTTGTTGTTGTTTTTTCAACAGGACAAAGTCATTGGTGTTGGAGCTTCTGGCCGCAATCTGTTTAGTTAAAGGTGGTCACGAAATCATTCTGTATGCTTTTGATAAATTTAAAGAAGTCTGTGCAGAAAGGAGGAGGTTTGAGACACTTATGGGCTATTTCATGAACTTTGAAGATTTCAATGTTGATTTTATGGTATGCTGTTCCTCAACATTAGATTAGTTTACATATAAAAATATATTTAATAAAATATACAGCTTCTTTATGTTTACACAGTAATCATTTATATTTGAGATGGATATACAGTCTAAGTATTTCTGACATGTTTCTATGCTCTGATACGTCATCTTAGAGAGTGAAAACATGTCAAGTGTATTGAGATTGTAGATCATGTTTCAATGCTCTGATACATCATCTTAGAGAGTGAAAACATGTCAAGTGTACTGAGATTGTAGATCTTGTTTCAATGCTCTGATACGTCATCTTAGAGAGTGAAAACATATCAAAGAAACATGATCTACAATCTCAATACAGATGTTTTCACTCTCTAAGATGACGTATCAGAGCACCGAAACATGATCTACAATCTCAATACACTTGACATGTTTTCACTCTCTAAGATGACATATCAGAGCATCGAAACATGATCTACAATCTCAATACA